ATTCGGTCGCGCAGATAAGTTGGTTCCACCTTTAATCGATTGTCTATAAAATAGACATATATGTGAATTAGTCATCTGTAAATAAGGTGTCTATGAAGTGATTGTCAATTAAATAATACGGACCCATTAAAGCTTTCTCTATTTTCTGATATATTTTAAACGCTCATTATTTATATATGAAAGCATGAATTATTACAAAGAGTTTGTAACCATCAAAGCATTATTGCATTCTACGGAATCACAAAAGGTATACTTAAAGTTTAAATTTTTAAGAGAATCGTTAAATTAAAAATATTTATTACAAATAAATAGATCGCGATGATCATTATAACATAGTTTTACAATATGCTAATGATGGAAATTTACAAGAATATTTGAAAGAAAATTTTACAAGATTACACTGGAAAGATAAACTTCGTATGGCTAAGGGAATAGTGTTTGGTCTTTTGTTCTTACATGACAATGATATCATTCACAGAGACCTTGTAAGCATATTCTATTTTAATATTACATATTCATTAATTAATTTAATCATTAATATTATAGTAATTTTAGTCATTAAATAGCATTCAAAGAATATTTTAATTCATCAAGGACAACCAAAAATTGCAGATTTTGGATTATCCAAACATATAAATGAGTCGTCAATGACTTCGAATTCAAATGTTCATGGAATACTGGCATATATAGAACCTCAATGTATTCGTGATTATAAATATAAACGTGATAAAAAATCAGATGTCTATAGTTTTGGCGTAATCCTTTGGGAAATTTCAAGTGGAAGGCCACCCTTCCAAACCTTTAAACCAGAAATAACTCTCATTCACATATTACAAGAAACTAGGGAAAAGCCTATAGAAGGCACTCCATTTCAATATACAGTATTGAACTTTACAATCAATGCTGGGACATGGATCCTTCTAATCGTCCAGATGCCAAATCAATATTTGAAATTTTGAATCAACTCGCTTCTGAAGAACCTATTCCTAATGGATCCTTTATTAAAAATAAAGAAGTCGCTTCTTTAAATCAAGATCTAAAAGAGCAAGTAAATTCAGATATAGCAACGTCGTCACCACATTATTTACCTGATACAATTAGTTTAATAGACTCAAATGAAGCTGCAACGTCTTTGCCTGACAATAACAATATACTTGAAAATAAAAGAAGACATGCGCATAAATATTTTGATGAAGGCAGATATCTCGAAGCATTAAAACTATATGAAGAAATTCTCGGAAATAGCCAGCATAATGCTGAAGATAAAAAAATTGCTTCAAATTGGTGTCTTAATAGCAAGATTCTAGATTCTAAAAAAATAAAGGAATTGGTTAAAGTACTTTATAAAAATAATATTTTAATTTCTCTAAATCTTGGAGGAAATAGATTTAGGTCAGAAGAAGGAAAAATATTTGCAGAAGCACTTTTCAACAATACTACCCTAACTTCTTTGAATCTTCAAAATAATAAACTTGGTTCAGAAGGAGGAAAAGTATTAGCAAAATTACTTTGCAAGAACAATACTTTGACCTCTTTGAATCTTATTGACAATGATCTTAGATTAGGAGGAGGAATAGCATTAGCAATTGCACTTCGAAAGAATACTATGCTGACTTCTTTGAATCTTCAAAATAATAAACTTGGATTGAAAGGCGGAAATGCATTAGCAAATGCACTTTGCAAAAATAATACTCTAAATCTTAGAGCAAATCAATTTGGACCAGAAGGAGGAAAAACATTAGCAGAGGCACTTTGCAAGAATTCTACTCTCACTTCTTTAGATCTTTACAATAATCAACTAAGGTTAGAAGGTGCAAAAGCATTAGCAGATGCACTTTGCAAAAATAGTACTCTAATTTCTTTAAATCTTGGTTGGATTGAAAGTGAGTTAGGAAATGTGTTAGGAAAAGCGTTAGCAGAATCGTTAGCAAAAGCACTTCGCAAAAACAAAACTCTAACTTCTCTGAATATTGAATATAATGAAATTGGCCCTGATGGAGGAAAAGCATTAGCAAATGCACTTTATGCGAACGCACCTTGACTTCTTTGAATCTTAATAACACTCATATTGGTTCTGAAGGTGGAAAAGCATTGGCAGAAGCACTTTACAAAAATGCTACTCTGACTTTTTGGACCTTGGTAATAATCAACTTGGATCCGAAGGTGGAAAAGCATTGGCAGAAGCACTTTACAAAAATGCTACTCTGACTTTCTTGAACCTTGGTAATAATCAACTTGGATCTGAAGGTGGGAAAGCATTGACAAATGCACTTTGCAAGAACAATACTTTGACTTCTTTAAATCTTAATAATAATAAACTTCGGTTAAAAGGAGGAAAAGCATTAGCAAATGCACTTTATGAAAATACTACACTGATTTCTTTAAATATTAATAATAATGAAATTGGCCCTGATGGAGGAAAAGCATTAGCAAATGCACTTTATGAAAACGTCACCTTGACTTCTTTGAATCTTAATAACACTCATATTGGTTCTGAAGGCGGAAAAGCGTTGGCAGAAGCACTTTACAAAAATGCTACTCTGATTTTCTTGGACCTTGGTAATAATCAACTTGGATCTGAAGCATTGGCAAATGTACTTTGCAAGAACAATGCTTTAACTTCTTTAAATCTCAATAGTAATAAACTTTGAAAAAAAGGAGAAAGAGCATTAGCAAATTCACTTTGTGAAAATACTAAACTAATTTCTTTAAATCTTAATAATAATCAACTTGGATCTAGGGGAGGGAAAGCAATAGCAAACGCGCTTTACAAAAATACTAAGCTGACTTCTTTAGATATTCAATTTAATGAGTTTGATTTAGAAACAAAAGAAAAATTCAAACTCTTAACAAAAATGACTATAATTTTGTAAATTTAACTTATTTTAATGTTTTAAGTAAAAATAGAATTGTGTATTTTCTATACAAATTTATCAATTGTTGAAGTTTTGGAGATTCTTTAAGCAATCTTGGGGAATGGCTAAAGCCATGTAACCACGTGATTTTTTGAAGTTTTAATTAAAATTAGGATTAAGACTAGTTTAGTCAGACCAAGTTGATTATGAGTTTTACATTACCTCCTCTACCTTCTTGTGGAGGTCGGAGGGACGCTTTGGTGTATATTATAGAATTATTTTTGTTCTATTCTTTTTTTTTTTGATAAGAGGGAGAGAGGGGGGCTCGAAAGCAGTTACTTACGTATTTGCACGAGTAACAAACCAAAAATGAAATCAAATTTTGTAAATAAACTAAGTGCGTAAAGATAGAAGTTTAGGGTTAGGACGTTAACATTAGAGGCTATCAATAATAGATTGTTGCTTGTTATATGTAAAATTTCGTTCCCGACATTTTTAATTAGTGCACCAAAGTATGTTTTTATATTTATGCACGTTATAATTTCTGATTCGCACTGCTTTATATTCGATCGAATACTTGAAATTTATAATAACTAATGGTAAAGTTGTTAGACGAAGCCTAGAGGTTTCGCAATTGGCGAAAGGCGAAACCGAAACTTAGTTTCGACTTTGCCAAAAAAAATTCAAAAGACGAAATGGCGAAACTGGCGAAAGGTGACGAAACTGGTGAAAGGTGGCGAAACTGATGAAAGGTAACGAAACAGGTGAAAGGTAATAATAGTGGCAAAAAAAAACTAAGGGAAGTGACAAAAATCAGGGACAAAAAATTAAAATTATATATAAGAACCTGATTTTATATATATTAAAAAATAATCAGATGATAAATGACACTGCCCTAATGTAATTGATAATTTTGTTCTCTGTATCTCATTTCCATATTTGTTTAGCAGTAAGATATTATTTACCTTCTATTTTGGTATCGCCATAGTGATCATTATGGTGCTTCGTAAACTACCCTAAAATTTTGACTACTGATGGTGAGTCAATTTAATTTGACTTCGTGTATACATATCAATATAAATTAGAGTAATCAATATAATTGTGAAATACGTTCTGATTTAAATTATGATATACTACTGTACCCCAAATCTAACGTCTAACCCATCTTTCTACTATTCAATCCATCTTTTCACTACATCTGCTTAATTTTTTAATTTCACAAATTTGTTATAATGTTTTAATCTTACTTTAGTTATATTATTATTATGTATTCTTAGTGGCTTAATACATACAACTATGTGGACATCCAAAATATTATGTATACATTGTTATATAAACTTGATAGAATATGTTATTTGTAGGAAAGTCTATATAAGTTAGATTTAGTATTATATATGCTATGATTATAGCTTTAATGTACAGTATAAAAACTTAGAATGTATATATTGCAGATGAATTTGAATTACAGTACACCCTCGCAAATCTGATAGGCATGGTGAACAACTTTTGTATCAGTTTTGAAGGTAATCAGTCCCCCATCTCTAAACATACACAACTTTAAAATTATAAAATAAGTGCGATAATTATGTTTATCCAATTGAATACTTAATTCTTTAATAACTTGAACTTTAATTAATTTAAAACTTATACTTAAATGAGGTTTTATACTTACTGTTATTTTACAGGTTTCATAAAATGGCAGGACAATGATTATATATTTGAACGATCCACTACATGTCTTTATTATTTTTTCATTTATTCAGTTATTCATATAGTTGTCAACAATTTTTTTAAAGGTTTGAAGTGAAAGAAATAAAAAATAATAAAATACCATAGTTACCCGACATGTAGACCCCTGTGGGCTATAAAAGTATCATACTTATGTATCTGGACATATACATGTGTGCCTAAATTGCTCTTATTACAGCTGTTTTCATTATTTCTAGGACACCTATAAAAAAATTAACTAAAAAAGTTTCAGCCGATAATTTTTTGGCATAATAAATTCAATAAAAATTATATTTTTGAATTCATTCAATTTTAATTTACTGTAATATTAATATAATAATGTGTATATCATAAATTAAATATATTTTTGAGTTCGTTCAATTTTTATTTACTATAATATTGATATAATATCTACGTCTAAATTACATCTTTGTTCTAATTTCAAAAGTTATCATAATAAATATAATACCTCTTTACAAAAATCTGATAATTTCGAGATATGCAATTACTTGCAAATAATAAGCAATATTTAGTGCATTATTAGTACTAAGTTAGCAATTTTAATAATTTATTACAAGATTATTTCATTATCAGCACCTTTAAATACCTAATAAATTAGTTAAATAATGGTAAATTTTGGGCCCTTATTATTACTAAAAAGATTGATAATATTTTGCTAATATTAGAATTGTATCAGCATGATAATTGACAAATATATTTATAAAATTAAAATATAGTAATAAAATGCTAATAATGTGCTTATATTTGCACAAATTTGTATTTTAATAGTACATTATCAGCACCATTAAATTGCTTATATTTAGCAAATTTAATTTTGACAGATTTTTGTAAAGTAATTGTTTAACGCTGTCTAGTATAGGAGGTTGTTTTAATTTATTAAGTCATTCAACAAGTGTTCAACTATACCCATTTCAACATGCTATTTAATATGATAATGTACTACCCATACATATGAATTGTTAGCAACAAATTATATTACTAACTATCTATTTAAAGAAGCAAAATGAAGGCAAATACTACCAGATATCACTAAATATCACATGATAATATCTGATACTGCCTGCCTATATTTCAAAAAAAAATAATAATAATTTACCCAGTTGGTGGTATTGTTATAGTATCATAATATAGTGGATTAACTAAATTATAAGTGCTTGGATCTGATGTAGTACTATTATACCTTCCAACAACGTAGAAAGAGTAACTGTGCTATATAAATTGAAATTAAAAATTATAATTAATAATTATAGATGATAACTATGGACAATAACCATAGATGATAACCATAGATGATAACTATAGATGAAAAATAAATATATACCAAATAGAAAGGATGAATATTGTTAACGAAAACTAATTCAATATCACCATTAGCAGTATCATAAGAGATTATATTCTGATTTGCAGACAAACTTTGTGGACTAATGCCAGAAGTTACTTGATTTAATATAGAGTTACTAAAGTTTGGTTCAAAACTATTTCCATTCATAAAGAAGATTCCACAGCTATTTGAATTTGAGTCATAAGTAATATTTAAAATAAATTGAGTGGCATTTTGTAGTAGAGAATTAGCAACGAGAGGTACTAGGCTAGAATTCAGAATATCAAAACAAGTTTGTTGTTCAGTATCAAAAAACTCAAGAGTAGTTAGAGTGGTATTATTAGCATCTTCATAATGTAATATTCTAGTAGCATTCCAATTAATAGAAGAATTTCAATTTATAGTAGCAAATGTAGTTTGAAAAATATTATATTTTTTGAATTCAACAAGAAATGTAACTAGTTTTTTTATTTATATTAGCTACCTGATTTTAAATTACAGTCTGATCTCAATATAATCACTAGGTTGGAAAACAAAATTTTGGTGATTATAAAAAGTTGTGACTATATGAAGGTCAAAATTTATATGTTTTATATTAGCTTGGTCAAAAAAAATAATGTGATTATAACAAGGTTGTGACTATATCAAGAGTGATTATAACAAGGTTAGACTGTATATATATATTACAGTATTATATCAATTTTATTGAATTTATTATACCGAAAAACTTAACGGCCAAAAAATTTTTCACATGTAATTTTTTCAACATAATAAATTCAATAAAAATTGATATAATATTGTAATATATATGTAATTTAAAATTAGGTGACTAATATAAATAAAAAAATTATGCACAGTTTTTGTTGAATTTAAAAAAAAATAATATTTCTAAACCACATTTGCTAGCAAATTATTGAAAAAAATTTTAGAAGGCCTATCAAATCGAAAAATTGCAAAACACCTAGGTATTGCAAGTCTTCTATAAGTCGGGTTCTTGTGCATTTTCAAAGATATGGTTGTATTGAAAAGCTTTAATCCCTTTCAGGAAAACCACATTCTTTAAACATGAATGATATAAATTATCTTTCAAGTTTTAATGAAAGAAAAACCTGTTTGATACTTGTATAAATTACAATCTGAGCTGGAACTTTGATTGGGATATAATATTAGTTTTATAACAATTTGGAGGGCTATACACTGACTTGGATATATGCACAAAAAGGTAATATTTTATATATTTATACATATTTATTTTATAAACTTATCAAATAAATATTTAAATATATGTATATATTATATCTTACTTTTAAAATGTTTTTTGTATTAATAGCTCCTAATTCAGGTTTCTTCGTGTTAATAGCTCCTAATGCAGATTCCTTTGTATTAATAGCTCTTGATTCAGATTTCTTCATATTAATAATATCTAATTCAGGATCTTTTTCACTATTAATTTCTAAATCAGTTCATACAAGTCAGATAACTCAAAAGTATTTAGAGAATCTTTATTTGTTAGATCTACTGTTTCGCTTTGATTGTATTAATTATAATTTTTAGCATATTTTTGACATATATTAATTAAGTCTTGATTTTTGAAATCTTGACTTTAGTTGAATTTTTAGTCTAATAAATGAATTCTTGATCATATCTAACTTTTTTAATACTAGCATCTATTTGTGTAAAATATTTACTATAAAAGGATTTGATATTCAGAGCCTTGTTTAAATTTCTTGTCAAGTTTTATTGGTTGACAAAAACAATCTTTTCCATAAACCTTCGCACAAATTAAATACGCTAAATATATTAAGCAAGCGTTCAAACAAAATTTTAATAGTATTGACATTACTGCATTATAATAATAAAATTATTTGTAAAACAGTTATTAGCTGAAATTAATTTACTATAGAGATACCCCTCTCCCCTCACCTGAGATATACTATAGCACCAAATCTTCGCTCAGCCAATCAGATTACACTTTAGATTGCACAAATAATCATAAAATATTATTATCATATATATAATAAAACTATATTATATATAGATATATATATCTGAATTTTGTTTGCTAATAATTATAGAATTATTTAAAACCCTATTTAGATTTATAAAACATGTCTAAATAAATTTCTTTTATTATGATACAATTCAATTTATATTTATTAAATCAACGTGATCAGATTGTTATAGAAATGTGATTAACTAACTAGCAACATAACTCATGGCTTCACTTTCAAAAAATATTTACAATCACATTTTCTAAAAAAGCCTCTATTTATAATATAATCTGTTAATTTCATAATTTAGTGAAGTTGGGTATTGTGATGAATTGATCTGACTCAGATATCCAAACAAAACAATTTATACAACAAATCAATAATAAATAAATTGTCAAATTTAATCACAAAGCTATAAGATTTTAATTCATCACAATATCTAATTTTATCAAATATATATTTGTATCTAAATATTAATAAAAAAAGATAAAATTAAAAAGATCATTTACCTTATTTTGCAAATAGCATGATAAATGTATAATACAAATAGATAACAAACCTATGTCAAGTCAGTTGTTTTCCTCACACATATATACAAAGGTATGTAATAGTATAAAAAAATTGGAAATACCTAAAATATTGACATTCGATATCTACAACCACTTACACAAAATGCAACAGTATTTTGCTATACCAAAATATAATAAAAAATCTATCTACAAATATACAGAAATGCAATATCAATATTTTACAAATGCATTTGGATACTATCATATAAACAAAGCAAGAAATCTATTATATCTGAAAAAAATCTATGCACAGAAGCTATGAAAACATAGAAACTTGTTAAAAAAAAAACAAAGGATGAAATTGATAATAAGATTAAAGAATATCTTACCACACCTATTCCTATACAATCTTATGTCTCTTAACTATTTTGTTACTCAAACTAAGCATCAACATCAGTTTATAAAACTTAGTTAGTATCTATACCATCTATTACTATTGTTGTAGATGAAACTGTCTCTAAAAACGCAGCAGCACAAAAAAGATCACTTTCTATAAAAAAAGAAAATTAGTTGAATTGCAAGTGATTTATGAAGCAACCAGCAATCTTCAGCTAAAAAATGACATATTACATCGAATTCTTAATGTAAAACAGATAATTGATAAAGAAACAAAGAAAATTAGTATTTTAAAATGTAATGCGGCCTATTAAGCAAAATCAAATGAAAAAAAATTAAAAAGACTTTATGAAACACCTTTTACCTCAAAACTCCTCAAATATTGCTGCAAAAGCGCATCACCATCCTGCCTTAGTAGCTATTACAAATGTTTCTAGATTAGAAAAAAAAAAACTTGTCAATGAGCACTATTGCCTTGCTTCAATTAAAGGTGTTAAACAATTTGCTGCTATGTTTTCTCATTATTCTGTTATTATCTTGCCGGATGACAAATCAAAGGTTCCACTTGGAATTTTCACTGTTGGCAAAACCTTATAAACAATACAAACTATTAATAAAAATGTTACTCTTGCTGATTATGATTTCCCTATAGTAATTTATCAAAAATTAATTCTCTCAATATATCTTGCTATTGACTCTTCAGATTCTAATGATATATTTCGCAAAGGCCAGTTGGCTATTTTTGTTTGCCCCAATATAATATCAGCACCAGTTCTAATACACATATAGCAGATTTAGTTATACTTACCAACAAAGAATTCTTTAATAATATTTTTAAAAATAATGAACAGATTAAACTAATCTGGGTTCTTCTCATTAATGAGAGGCCCGATGAAAATCCTAGCACCTGAAGAACATTTGTAGATATAGTAAATTGTTTCAATTCCTTAATCTTGACTACCTCATAGTAAGAAACTATGCTCCTAGTCAGTCTGCTTATAACCCAGT